AAACGTGGCTGTCAGTCTAGGGGGACGACACACAAGAAGTGGCCGCAAGCTGATACCCAACAACAGCTGACTGTTTCTTGGCTGGTATCAGCGGAGGCTGGCGGCTCGTTGGCTGGGTCTATTTTTACCCGCATCTTCGCTGGCCACGGAGCAGGACATGTTCCCGGTACGTCCTGGAGGAGGCTCCCAACTGCCACGACCCCATCCCGGGCCTCCAGGACAGCGCCCCTCCTGACCCCGCCGAGGGACAGCCAGGCCAGGCCGGGAGCTCGCGCGCGGCTGGCTCCCTCTTATCCGCTCGGGAGNTGAGAACGTGGACGGAAGTTAACAAGTTGCTGACAGGCAGCTAAAATCTTGAAAACCGAATGTCCTTAAAGAGGACAGTCACTTCGGGGATGCTTCTTAGTTTTGGCGGGCCTGTGAAGGCTGATGCTTTTTTTCCTGTGGTTTTGGAGGTGGGTTGAAGATAGTGTGGATTTATCTCCTGGGGAATCCAATTTAACAGATGTTTACTGCACACCAGGAAGGCATTCAGATATACAAGTAACTCGAGAACACATTCCTTCTTCGCTGTGGAGTCAATATAATCCAATAATCCTCTTAGTTAAAAAAAAAAAAAAAAGGGCAGTGGTGACCAAGGTGTGATAACTATTCCTCAGGTAGCTGAAACTTCTCCTAAGCATCTTGGGGCCCCAGGCCTGCCTAACTCAACAGGAACACCAAAGAGACCTGCTGGCCAAATTTTTCTTTCTCTAGGAACTAAGTCAGCCTTGCTTTTTGATGACTGGAGCTGATGTTTCTCTCTCTGCGTACTTTACATCAGGGGATTGCCGAGAAATTGTAGTTCGAAGATTCGGCTCTCTGACCTGGTAAATCCTTTATAATCTTGCCCGCCTCTCCTCTAGTTTTGGCTAAGATCAGTACCTAGCTGGTCATCAAGTTCTGCAAATCCTTTCCAGATGCTGGACCCAATTGACTTGCATCTCTAGGCTGATTCCTGCCTGTATCTCTAGGACAAGCTTCATCTTAAGCAGAAAGACTGTTACAGCTCAACGCTTTGGGGAGTTAGCAGTAAGCCTCTGATAATAGTCTGGCTGTGGTCCCAATAATACACTCAGGTAACTGGGCTTTTGACTGATCCTTAATTCCTATCCCTAATTCTAGTCCTCTAGTCCTTACTTCCTATGCTTTGCTTCTTTTCCTTCTGCTTGAAAAGTCCTTCTCTTTTTCTGTCAAGCACACTCTTTTTTTTTTTTTTTCCCCAAGCACACTCTTATTCATCCTTCAAAAATCCATTCAAATGTCATGTTCTCTTTGAGCCTTCCTACCTGCCTGGGCAGTTTTAGCTGGTCTGTCCCTTAATTCTGCTCCTAGTCTTCTACACGAATTTCAGATTGCATTGTATTCTGTACCTGTCTTAAGATCACCTAAAAAATGGGGCACTCTAGCTGGAAGATCTGTATCTTACTCATCCTTTTATCTCCAATGCTTAAGACAGTAATGAAACTTAATATCTTAGAAATCTGTAATCCCCCAGTTTCTAAGACTAGCAGCCCTGCCTTGGTTTTGCCAACCTGTCTCATACATAGAGACAAAGTGCCTTGGCAATACCACCAGTAAAAACTAAATTTAATCACATGCAGTTGGGTCAGCAAAAGCTAAAAGATTTTCTTCAAATAGTAATAGAGGCCCTGACCCAAAGGACTAACGTGGACAGCTGTAGGATAAGAATAGCATGGCACACACAGAAGAGGATTGGGGTGCCTAAAAAGAAGGCTGACTAGAGCAGAACAGATTATGCCTTTAGCCACCTTTGCTGAGGGTTTGCAGCTGTCCCCAGTGGAAATTATGATGAGGATCCCACTGTATATCCTTGGAGCTCTCTGCATACAAGCTTCTTACATACAAGCATCAGAAAACACACACAGCTCTTGCTATAACTGAGGGGTTTGGTTGCTCTTTTGTTGGCTTCATAAAATCCTAATTAAAAATCTCTCCCGCTAACTGATGCAGGTACAATTCAAAGTGGACAAAAGTAAGAACTTTCAGAAAGCCTATTCCATCCAGATGTTTGACTCATTACACTTCTCTAGGAAAAAAGGCTCCTGGCTGGGTGGTAAAATTATGATGTTTTAAGAACAACCAACTGGCTATTAAATTTGCTTTTCTACCTCTATGCGGTTATGACCTCAGATATAAAGCAGCCAATCATCTCCTTCCTGCCTTCTTTCCTTCTTTGCTTTCCTTTCTTCTTTCTTTTACTTCTTTCTCTTTTTGTTAACAGTTTAACAAACATTTATAGAGGGCTTAGAATGTGCCATTTGCTGTGCTGAGGATATTAAACTAAATAGACCTTTGCCCTTTTCTTTAAGAAACTCACAAGCTTATATAGGATGCAGACAAATAAGTTTAACATAGTAGGGTAACAATATCAACATTGCTAAAGTTAGACAAAGCACAAAGAAGAAAATAATGAGCTTTTTGGGGGTGGGGGAGTTAGGAAGATTTTGTCAGTTTGAGCTGAGTTTAAATTTATTAAAAGTGCAACTTTGGAGAAACCCCGTGTTTATTTCCTGGAGATTAGCTCTATTAGTTATTTCAGCAAGCCTGCAGAATAAAAGAGGTTCAACTTTTGCTGATTGGCTAATGCTCTCAGAATCAAGGCCTGACCTCAACTGAATTGTGAACCAGAAATTGAGACAACAAGCAAGATTTGCTCAATCTCAACCATAACCAATATGTTAAAAAAAAAAAAGGAAAAACGTTAATGTCAGAACTGCAAGAGATCTTAGTCCATCAGTCCATGTTTTTCATTATATAGATGGAAGAAAAGTGAGGCTCAGAATGATTAAAGACTTATGTAAAGTCATGAGAAACCACTAACTGGAAGAGTGTGAGATAAAACAAGAGTATCCACGTCTCAAATTTATTCTTTCAACTTCTCTAAGATAATCTGATAGTGTACCAGAAAGATTTGATTTTTCTTTTATTCCCAAATAAATGCCTACTTGATAATATCCTGAAATAAAGAGGAACAAAATTAGAGCATCAAAAGATTCTTCAAATAGAACCTTTACTTATCTATTTCCTTTCATATATATATATAGATGGCTTACCTGGTAGCTCAGGCTTCCCTCATAGCTCAGCTGGTAAAGAAACTGCCTGCAATGCGGGAGACCTGGGTTTGATCCCTGGGTTGGGAAGATCCCCTGGAGAAGGGAACAGCAACCCACTCCAATATTCTGGCCTGGAGAATTCCATGGACTGTATAGTTCATGGGGTCGCAGAGTCGGACACGACTGAGAGACTTTCACTTTCACTTTTCCCTGGTGGCTCAGATGGTAGAGAATCTGCCTGCAGTGTGGACGACTCAGGTTTGGTCCTTGGGTTGGGAAGTTTCTCTGGAGAAGGAAATGGCTACCCACTCCAGTATTCTTGCCTGGAGAATCCCATGGACAGAGGAGCCTGGTGGGCTACAGTCCACGGGGGTCTCACAGAGTCAGACACGACTGAGGGACTCTTAGCACTTCTTTTATCCTATATATATATATACTTCAAAAAACAGAATCTCAACCTTGTTGAGTGCATGCTTATAGTTCTAAGCATGTGGATTCTTCTTTAATCAGCAACATCTACTGTTTGCATTCTAGGCTCTAACTCTTAAATTGATTTCCATCCTGCGCCCATCAAAAGTGCTAAGGAAGGGATCGCCATTAAGGGCACTTATGAGGATATCTACTTATTCCTACAGGTATGGAAGTTCTAAGCTTGTATCAAGTAACATCACCAGAGAGCAAAGAAATGGGGTGTCAATTGCTTGGCCCTCTCTTTGATGGCATGTGTTCTAGTGTTACCCCCATTGGCATTGATCAAAGGTGAGAGCAAGAAAGTCACATGAAGATTGTTTCTGTATTTTCTTTACAAAGGGGAGGTTATTAAGGACACATTCATCTGTTATTCTATACTCTTTGGAAAGTAATAAACATATTTAAGAACTGGTACCAAAAAATGTGCTTTCATTCAAAGAATTGGTATGTGTACTTTAAAAATCAAATGGTAATCATACCATCTATTTTCCTTTTTTTCTTGACTGCCACAAAGGCCCAAAATAAATGTAAAATAAGGCTCAATGTTAGTACACAGGCTTAAACTGGGGGCATATTTGTTTTTTTCACTAATTTTTTTCTAAATCCAACAAAGATGTTTTCTACAAACTTTTTACTATAAGCGATCTGAGATTCTCTTTTGGAAGTTTTAAGGGGATAAATAATGAATAAGTATGTAAAACATTTCCTTTGAGTACTTGAGAGTTATGCTTGTTACTAGTAAGCATCAAGTTCTTGCTATGGACAACCGTGTTCCAGGGCTCTATGGAAACTAAGGGGTGCATGAAATGACTGGGAAACCTGAAGGGTCTTGAATCGAGTTGTGATGGTCAAGTATTGTAGAGATAAGGTCAGGTAGCATATTCCAAAGTGATTTCAGACTCATTCTATCCTAAGACTCCATACGTCTATTAAATGAGTAACATGAACATTTGGTCAAAGCATATTCTATTTTGAGTTGGCTTAAATATTGATATTTTGAGGAACATTTTTCTGAAGGTGGTCAAGTTTTTGGATAGCTGTTTCTGAGTAAATTTTCATAAAAGCAGTTTGTGTTCATGGTGGAAATTTGAAAAATCGGAAAAGTATAAAGGAACTAGTTAAAATCATCCATAATCATGCCTTGGGTTCATGTTGTATAATGTAACACAATATATATAATTTAGAGACCTGCTTTTTTCACTTAACGTTATATAGTAATAATTCCTAGATACTAGCTGTTCAAGAATGAGATTTCTATTGTGAAACATTCCACTGAATAATTTACTCAATCAGCAGCCCTATTGGTGCTTTATATGTTTCCAACCTACTCTTCTCTGTTTAATATTAGTACTGTGACCTATTGTACATTTGTAGTAATAGTAATCAGAGCATTTAGGAAGCAAATTTATAGCGTTTGCTGTAACATGTCAAGCACTGTATTGCACTTCACATGAATGATCTTATTTAGTCTCTAATAACCCTGAGAAGTAGGAACAATAGTAAGATGATACAAGGGCTTCCTAGATGGCTCAGAATTCATCTCAGGAGACGCCTTTTGATCCCTAGGTTGAGAAGATCCCCTGGAGGAGGAAATGGGGAAAGGAAACACTATTCAGCATTCTTGCCAGGACAACCCCACGAACAGAAGAGCCTGGCAGGCTGTAGTGATAAAACAGTCCCAAACGACTGAAGCAGCTGAGCACACAGGTATGCAAAATGATATAAACAAGGACTAGAGGTTAATTAAAGTGCAACAGCAAGGAGGAGGATTTAACCCTTAGTTTGACCTAAGCAAATATTCCAACTTGGTTTTTATTAATAAGTAAGGCAGACTGTTCAAAGATTCCAGTTACCTATAAAAATGTGCATTAAGTTAAGAAATCAGTAAGATTCTTCTTCATTGCTTTCCTCATTCTTTATATTTTTTAAAGAAAGTCAGTAATGAATATTTATTTTTTGCACTTTAGCAATTGTTACTGCACTATGATAAAATGTGTGTTCTCTTTATATTCTGTTTTTTCTTTTTGTTGATATATAATTAAAATAATAATACATTATGTACAACATAGTGATTCAATATTTGTATATAATGTGAAATAGTCACCACAATCAGTCTAATTAATATCTATCACCAGACATAGTTACAAGTTTTTTTTTCTTGTGGTGAGGACTTTTATAGTCCTTATTTTGTGATCTACAGAAGATAGTAAGAACACAGACTCCAGAATGAGCCTTTCATTTTTATCAGAGGACAGTAAAACCACTAATTAAATGGAAAAAAGCGGGGTGGGGGCAAAAAGTCTTAAGTTTACCGTCAGTGGACATGTTCAATGTTCATAATTCTTAAATACCTGAAAAAAAAAAAAAACTGAATTAAACTAGCTAACCGACTAGCTGAGGTCCTGCTTCCATCCGCTCTGTTTTAAAAAAGATCGATAAGGATGATTTGCAATCTGCACATCATTTAACGACATTGAAAATAAGGGTACGAAAGTGCTTAGTGATGGCTGAAATGGTTTCATTTCTTAAGTAGTCCAGACTGCCACTGTGGCTTAATAAACCTTTTGAAATAGTGCCAAACCGGCTCTAAACTTGCACAAAGTCTTAGAGAATTTATAATTAAATAACTTTAGAGTGGTTAATGATTCTAAAACCTGACCAAATCTTATTTAAACCTGATTGACTTTAATTTGTGAACATCCTTGAGCTAAAATCTATTTAGCTGGGCACCCGCCAAATCCTAGGTGTTACAAAGGAAGAAGTAAAGTCTTGAGACGTGAAACGCGCCCACGTCAAGGTTTGTTTAATAATCGCCCGGGTATTTATTGTCCTGGCTCCCGGCGGCCGCGCGGGAGCCGGGAGACCGCGCGCGGGGCAGCGAATGAGGCGCGGCGGCTGTGGCCCAGGTCGCCTCCCCCCGGCTTCTCGAACCCTGCCCAGTCCGACCCGAGGGGGGAGGATGGAAACACCAGCCGCGCTCTGAGCTCCTCAGGAAGAGAACACCTTTCCCGCCACCTCACCCCGCGGTCCACGAGTCCACCTCCCAGAGCGGGCCGAGCGGAAGAGCGAGCGATGGCAGACAACCTGAGGAGACTGGTCTCCAACGAAGCTTTGCGGTCTTTGCAGGACAAGCTACAGTCCTGGCTGAGGGAGTACAACGTGAGTCAGAGGGGAAGACCCCCGGAGTTCGCCCCCGCTCTAGTTCCTTGCGCAGCCCTCGGCGGGAGGTTCTTAGGACTGGCCTCCGCGTGACTGCTTTGCCAAGTCCCGCAGTTTTGATTCCTCACTGGGACCCGCACCGAGGGAAGCAGGGAAATGCGATTCTTTTTTCTCCTTCCGGCGCGAGGTGGCGCGGTCCGCGAAGCGCTGGACTGGTCGTAGCAGAGAGCTCCTATTTTAGAGAGCGGTAGCCAAGGACGCTGGCGGTCCCAGCAACGGGAAAGCCCTGCAAGTAACCCATCCGGTCTAGCTTGTCACTCTTCCTCCAGTCCCCTCTACCTGCAGTCCACCCCGATACCCCGACTCAAATTGTTATTATTTATTACATCCCTCCTCTTGCCTTTCCGCAAGTGTCCCACTCTGCGGATAGGATTTTTATAGAAATATACCCAGGAGTTACTACCCAGAAGTCAATGAAACGGACACTAGTCAACCTTGCGAGTTTCACTTGTGTGCTGATCAGCATGGCAAGTAAGGCAGTTTCAACACCAGGGCAGATTTCAGAAGGCCTGTTGTCAAGGCATTTGTAAGCCAATATTCTGTCATCAAACCCAGTAGGGTTCTTCAAATCTCATTAATTCCCCCCACCCCCAACCCCACTCCAGCTCCCGTTCATCTCCCCATCCAGATAGTAGAACTCCAATGCAGAATTTGCTTCGGTTGGTCTGTCTTAAAAAGGAGAGTTCTATGCTGTAGCTCAGCTAGTAAAAAAAAGTCCATCTGCAATGCAAGAGACTCCGGTTTGATCCCTGGATCAGGAAGATCCCGTGGAGAAGGGCATGGCAACCCACTCTAGTATTCTTGCCTGGAGAATCCCCATGGACAGAGGAGCCTGGCGGGCTACAGTCCATGGGGTCGTAAAGAGTCAGACATGACTTAGCGACTGAACAATAACAAAAAAAAAGGAGAGTCCTATTCTCACACAGCAAGTAGAATAATGCAGGAAAAAGAGCTGGGGACCCAGAATCAGCCCCACCCTGCCAGCTTTTAGGTCTGACTTTGCAGAGAACTGGCCGAATCATTGGGGCTTCCCTGGTGGCTCAGTGGTAAAGAATCCACCTGCCAGTGTAGGAGATGCCGGTTCATTCCCTGGTTCTGCAAGATCCCCTGGAGAAGGAAATGGCAACCCACACCACTGTTCTTTCTTGCCTGGAAAATCCCATGGACAGAGAAGCCTGGTGGCTTAGTGACTAAACAACAACAAACAACAACGACAAAAGCTGAATCATTTGGGGCAAATTATTTAACCTCTAGGTCTCAGTACCTCCTCAGCTAACTGGAAGACTGGAATTGATGATGGGTTAAGTTCCTTTTTGGATCTCAATTTTTTGAGTCTAGATTAGCTTGTTTCTGAAATCCTACCAGGAAAATGCAACTGCCTGCCATCATGAGTCCCTGGACTTTCCTATCCACCTTGTAACCAGGCTCCTGGAACAAGGGGAGCTCAAAACACTATGACTTTCTCCTTAGCCTGCTTTTCTAGTGTTTACCCCATTTGCCCACATTTAAAGAACCAATATTGATTATTCCTTCTCCATCAGAATTGCAGGAAAATTAAAATTCACCATTAGCACAAAGCCCTGGACTCCCTCCACCAACTACCTTTAGAAGTGGCTACTTGTTACCTAATCTCAGAAGGATGAGACTAACAAATCCTAATACATGTATTTTCCCTTCTAAAACTACTTCTTACAGAAAATGTTTTTCTTGCCCTGTGGCCGAAATTAACTTGGGCCATTAAAAAGTGTGTTCAGCTTGTCATTAGACAATGTTGAACACAAATGACACTGGTAGTGGCTGGACCAAATTAAATGATTGTTTTAGAAATGACCTGTAAGTTCTGAGAAATGCCAAAGTTTACTGTACTTTCTCTTCTCACTAACAGTGGTGCACCCCATTCTTCTGTTCTCACCAAAACCATTTCTATTTAGGTTCCTCACTTGTGGCCCTCCCCATCTCCAATACACACATATAATTAGTGGAGACTGAACTCTAAGAGATCAGTGCCTTTACAAATTTTGTGGACATTCCTCGGGCATCATCATTTCTCTTTCAACTTTCTGGCATCTCTATTGCATTTGACTGTCAACACCTGCATTTTTCTAAGACTCTGTTTGTCTCCTTGTCTTACCCACACCCCTCTCATAGTTGTTCTTCAAGGGCAGACTTTAGAAACCTTCTCTTCCACCTCCATTCCTGTTTCATTTCTTACCCCTATGCTGATGAATATCATATCTATACTCAGGTCCTTTTCTCATCTGAGCTCTCACTTCTTCAAATGTCCATTGGACATTTTCAGTTGTGCTATTGTCATTGCAAAGTCAAATCAGTGTAAGACTGACCCTAGCTTCTCCCATGCCACAAACACTGGCTTCTTTCCTTTAGTCACAGTCTTTATCATGACACACTCCACTACTTTCTCACCAGCGGAATCCGTTGGTACTCGTTTCTAAGCTTGTGCAGAACCTGAGCACGTTCCACACCGTCCCCACCTCCGCTGGCATGCTCATACACCTTTGGTCATCTTTTATTTGTGTTACTTAAAAAAAAATAACCCTAAGTTATTCTTCTAAATACCAAGTCAGATCAAGTCACTCCTATGGCAAAACACTCCAAACTTCATATCTCAGAAAAAAAGGTCCTGCAATGGCCATCAGGCTCCTGTACAATTGTGCTCCTTTAAATTCCGTGATGTCGTCTCTTACTCTTTCCCTTGCTCAACCACTGTAGCGATACCAGACGCCTTGCTCTTTGTAGAGCAGAACTGTCCAACGGAACCTTCCATTATGATGGACGCATTCTATATACATCTTTATATCAGCACTGTCCAACATGGTGGCCAGTAAGCATTTGAAATTCAATGAGTGCAAACTGAGAAACTGAAGCTTTAACTTCATTGAAGTCTAGTTTGAATTCAACTAGTCGCATATGACCAGTGGCGACTGTATTGGACAGAGCAGCCACCCTCACCCCTGGAACCACTGTGCCCCTTCTCTGCTTTATTTCTTCCATTCTAATTTTTACTGATTTACTCTTTTATTTGGTTTATTAGTCTTCCTCCCCTCCCCCAACACACCCTAAAATGTAAGCTCCAGATGGCAGAGATTTCTGTTTCATTCCACTTTTGGCCCCCTAGTAGTTGCTCAATAAATCATGACTGGCTGAATGCCACCACCTTTCTCCCAGACACCCAGTTCCTTGGACTCATTTCTGAAAAACCTCATATTCAGCGTAAAATTAGAGATGACTCCTGTGCGTGCCTTGTGTGTTCAGTCGCTTCAGTCGTATTCATCTCTTTGTGACCCTATGGACCATAGCCCACTAGGCTCCTCTGTCCATGGGGTTCTCCAGGCACGAATATTGAAGTGCCCTATTGACATGGAAGCAACCTAGATGCCCATCAGCAGACGGATGGATAAGGAAGCTATGGTACCTATACACAGTGGAATATTACTCAGCCATTAAAAAGAATTCATTTGAATCAGTTCTAATGAGATGGATGAAACTGGAGCCCATTATACAGAGTGAAGTAAGCCAGAAAGATAAAGACCAATACAGTATACTAACACATATATATGGAATTTAAAAAGATGGTAATGAAGTGCCCTATTGCCATGCCCTCCTCCAGGGGATCTTCCTGACCCAGGGATCAAACTGGAGTCTCCTGCATCTCCTGCATTGCTGGCAGAGTCTTTACCCCTGAGCCAGCAGGGAAGCCCAGAAATGATCCCCAAATATCTTTAATTCAACTTTTCTTAACATTGAAACCAGAAGCCAGGATTAACGATCAGGAGCACAAATGAGAGGGTGCAAGCATTCTGAATAGTGTGTGTGTGTGGTGTGTGCCGAGTGGTGAGGGCGCGGCGCTAAAGAAAGACGATGAGAAAATCTCTTTACAGAACCTACCAAAATTTAGGTTACATTGAGACTTATTCAACATCTTGTCATCTACAGTTTGAGTTTCAGTCAATTGCTAAGAGTTTTCCTGTAATACTTTGGCCTTGAATCCTTAAGGTGAAGAGTACTCATTGTAGCAAATGATATTTATTAAAATATTGGTTGTAGAGAACTATGTTTTTTCCTTAAAAGCTTCAAATTATGTTTGCTATGGAAGGTTGATTTTTCTGACTGTGACCACATTAATTGAGTTCTGATAAACTCAAGCAAAAGAAAAGACTGTATATATTCCTCTAGAATTAGAAACATGGTTAAAATTCCTTTGGGAAACGTTACTTTTGAGTGAAATAGATAAATAACTTGAACAGATTAATTCTAAAACACAATGCAGAATTTTGATTGTTTTCCAAACTAGCCATCATTTGGATTAACAATTAGATCCTATTTAGTTTTTCTTCTTAATTTCTCTAATATAATTTCCTGCTTTATCCATTCCTATCTCCTCTGCCCTTATCCGGCCATCACCACCATCCCATACACAGCCTGTTTCCTTGATTCCTACATTGTCAGAAACAGTAAGTTCTTTTAAAATATAATTTCCTGCCCTGAAGCCTTTGTTTTTTATCTTTTGGCTTGTTTTTAATCTTACAACATCTACCAATCTTCTGGGCCTTTGGCAAAACTGCTTCTTGCTTGACTTTATTTTTTTAAGTTATATTTACCTTAACTTCAGGAAGAAATATTTTCCAACCCTCTCCCCTTCCAAAGAAGCAAATCCTAAAAACAACAGCAAACAGCACCACCTCATTTTCTTTTAGTTATTAAAGAGATGCTGAATTATTGCATTACTTGGTCTTTAAAACTTGGACTCCATTGGAGACTCAGGGACGGGTTGTGGTAAACACATGAATCACAGAGTGAGTTTTTCCTCCTTTGTGGTTATTGAGAATGCTAGTGGATCAGCCATAGAGAATTCCTTCTTGTTTTAACCAATAATTGAGCCAATTATTAAGAGTTTAAAAATTAACTGAACAAATGGTTAC